AGGCGTTGCCGGACTCTCAAGCCTGAGAAGTCCCTCAGAGTTGTTCTCGCCAACCGTGGCTTTGACTCCGGACTGTGCCCGAGCTGCTTTGAGTGCATCTCGGATGGCGAAGAAGACAGAGCTGCCCATGAAGAACGGCGGTTCGCCTACGCCACGACTTCTCTGAATCGTGCGTAGTTCCTTCCACTCCACGTCCTTGAGAAGCGACACATTGAACGTTTGGGGAATATCTCGGAAGCCAGGGATCTTGTATGCTCCAGGTCCCCGCGTGAAGAGATGACCTGCCATTGGGCCGTTCCGCAACCAGAGTGATTCTTCCATCGTAAAGAGACCGAGACCTTGGACAAAAGCACCCTGGATCTGGCCGTAGTCGATTGCAGGATTTATGGACTGGCCAACGTCCATTTTGATGTCTGCCCGAATGCATGTCCAGGTTCCAGTTAGTAAATCGACCTCAACCTCAGCTGCCGCAACTCCTTGAGTGAAGTAGAAGAACATCTTGCCCTTGCCAGTGGTCCAGTCATATCCAATTTCAGGGGTCTTGTAGAAACCTTGCGCTGAAAGGTTAACGCGGTCAAAGTAAGCGGCGTGGGCGAGGTCTTTCATCGTCGCCTCAGGGCCAAGCTTCTTTCGGTACGGCGCCAATCGCTCGTTCAACATTTCGCATGCATTGAAGATGGCATATCCGTTCAGGTCTGAAGAAGCCGACGCAGCCGTTGCAGATGCGTTGGCCACCGTATTCGTCGAAGTTTCTGAGATGAAGACGTTGTCCAGTGGTACACCCAATGCTTGTGCAGCAATTTGAGTGAGCTTAGTGTACAAGCCTTGTCCCATCTCTGTACCACCATGAGCTACTAGAACTGAACCATCGTGATAGATGTGTACCAATGCTCCGGCCTGGTTCAGAAACAAAGCCGTGAAAGAGATACCGAACTTGGTTGGAATCAGTGCTAAGCCTCTCTTCCGCCACTTGTTGGTCTCGTTGAACTCGGTGATAAAATGTCGGCGTGCAGTATACATGGCCTCATCTTGCACCTGCTTGTACATGAGTGGTACATGCCAATCCCCCAAGCCTTGTCCAATGTGAGTTACTCCATCACTCTCGTACAAATTGATTTGCCGCAGTGTCTCGACAGGCATTCCCAGCCGATCAGCCACTTCTTCCATATACGACTCTGCGATAAACATGCCCTGAGGACCACCAAATCCACGGAAAGCCGTATTGGACATTGTGTTTGTCTTGCATAAGCGTCCACGAATGTGGACATTGGGTATGTCGTAACACCCATCAATATGGGTCATGGCTCGTTCGCATACGGCTGCGCTGAGATCGAAAGTCCATCCTGCATTGTTGAAGACGTCACACTCCAGAGCTTGGAGCTTGCCATCCTTGTTCACACCAACTTTGTACCGACCAAGGAAAGGATGTCGTTGGCCACTGATAACCATATCTTCCTCTCGAGTTAGCATGTATCGGACCGGTCTTTTGGTCTTCTTTGCTGCAAGTGCCAAGGCGGAGCTGAGTACTACAGATCGCGATTCTTTTCCACCAAAACCACCTCCCAGTCGCTTCACGCGGACGACAACCTTGTTCGATTGTACATCGCACACTCGTGAAGCAAAAACCTGCCTGGTGGACTATTAGTATTTAACCTCCACAATTGTGGGCAAACTCACGTTTCGTTGGCGTTCTGTGTACTAGCGAAGATCTCAATCTCTCCATCCTCAGGCTTGGGGACAACCAAACAAGCATTTGTCTCGAGGTAAAAGTGTTCTTGCCCGCCCATTCTCACTGTTCCAGTGAAGACATAGTCGCACTCTTCGAAGGCTTTCTCCACATCTCCTTTCTTGATCTCCCGGTAGAAGTTGTGGTAACTGTCAGCGGCGATAGCATCTTCTATCGAAAGCACCGTTGGAAGATCTTCGTACTCAATCTTGACTGCCCGTGCTGCCTCCTGAGCCCTCTGAGGAGATGTCGCTAGAACCAGAGCAATTGGCTGGCCCACTGTCAAAACCTCATCTTCTGCAAAGAAGACCTCGTCAAAGTGAGGAGCACCAAACTTGTTGGCTTCTGGGGAGGGCATGTCATCCTTGTCAACAACATCTACAACTCCAGGTATGTCAAGAGCAGCCGAGTAATCGACAGAGAGAAGTTTGGCGTGTGCTCGTTTCGAGAGAACATAGCAGGCATGGAGCTCGTTCTTCAATGCAGGCATATCGTCGGTGTATTGCGCTTCGCCGGTTGTCTGTTTGAGGGCTGCTAGGTGGGGGTTGGCCTTTCCAGTCACTTCCTTTTCGTAAGCTACCGCGGCATGCTCATCTACCTCGCCATTTGATATATCTCGCTCGATCTCGTCGATAGCTTCCTTGTCAACCTGTTCGGAACTTCCGTTGGTAATCGTCAGGACGTCATGATAGAATCGATAGAAGAATCCAAAGGCCAAAGACTTTCGATAGGACGCCATGCCACCTGGAACACTGAACTGCAAGTCGAAATCTCGGCCGAGTGCACTCATTGTTCCCTCCAGCGTTTCCAAGTCGGCGAAACGCCGTCCTACCAAGTATTCTCCAGCTGTTTTGGCAGCTACTGTCATAGCAGCCATACCGCCATAGATGAGGTTTGCTTCTTGAACAATACCTTCATCATCCAAACGAACTCTCAGTGCTCCAGTTACAATGGCAATGTCGTCGTCCTTTCTCTTGGCCTGCTTGTACGCTCTGAAGAATTCGCCCTTGTCATGAGTGACAGGAATTCGTATTGAAGCAATGATCGCATCCTGAGCAAGTGCTGTCTTTCGATAGCCAGTAAAAAATTGAGAGACAGGAATCTCTATTTCCTTAGTCGAAGACTTTGCAACCAACACAGCATTCGCCGCCCATAAAACGGGGTTGAGATCCGAGATTGGTGAAGCTGTAACAAGGTTTCCTGCTGGAGTACCAACATTTCGAATTTGTCGACCAGCAAAGTATTTGAGCTGCTTGAGCATAGCCTCGAAAACCTGGGCACGCTCGCGTCCGTAATGAGGAATAGCATGTTCGCAGATGCTTTCCAGGTCAGTCAGGACAACATTACCACCAACCTCGAGGTGATCGTCTTTGAAACTATACTGCCGCAACTCAGCGATATCGCCGACATATACGGAGACAGGATACTCCAGTGCCTTGAACTTGGTTTCGATTTGAGTTTCCGTACTTCCACCAATAATTTTGGCCTGGGGATGAGCACTCTTGATCTGCAAGAGTTGCTCTGTAGTGACGGGGCGATACCATCTGCGCCTCTTGTTGCCGAAGGCAAGAGGCCGTAGTTCATGTCGCTTCAGAGCGGGCGGAAAGATAAGCTCCGTATCGGGGTTGTACTCAATAAAACCTGGTGGTGTGAATCGCTTGATAGGTGTGTCGTCCAGATTTGCCTTGTCCATACAGCAGCCTCCGCTGGGTGGTCCGTTACCATTTTCCATGCAACATCCGCTGCCACCTGCTTTCTTAAACTTGCTACCGGGCTTATCAACGCTGAAAGTTTGAGCCGCATCCAGGATGGACCTGTAGCCAGTACATCGGCACAAGTTGCCATCGAACGCCTCTTCGATATCATCTTTAGAGGGGGAGTTGTTATTGCGTAGTAAGGCATACAAGCTCATCACGATACCGGGAGTACAAAAGCCACATTGGCTGCCATTTGACTTGGCGATACGCTCCTGAGTAGGATGGGGTTTCTGGGAACTGCCGATACCTTCAACGGTAACAACATGTTTACCGTCCAAACTGACCAGGGGAGCCAAACAAGCATTGACACTGGCATGGTAAATGTGCTTGGTAGTCGGGTTGTACTGGCTGACCACGATTGTGCAAGCTCCACAACCACCCTCGCCACAGCCACTGAGTTGTTAGCATCATTGAGACAGTGACCACATGGAACTCTTACAGTTTTGTTCCTGTGAGGCCGATTCCTCTTAGATATTCCAAGACTGTGACTTCTGGATCTATCTCGTCCAGGACGACTTTAGTTCCATTAAGGTAGAATCGTAGAGTATCGTCAAATTTGGAAGTTAAGGTTGCCAGCGGTTCAGGGTTGGCGTCCCTCACGGGCGATACAGCGCTAGGCGCCATGACTTCTTTTGTGGAGGTATTCTGAAATCAGTGTAGAATAACTTTTAGGAAGTACCTAAATTGCAGAAGAGAAAGAAGACCAAAAGTCAGAATGGGAAAGGACAGAAAAATGGTTGAACTAAGAGGCGAGGACCCTTTTAAAGGACTCTTATCAATAGACGAACCGAGGCGTTGTACAGTAGCACTTCAGGTTGTACTGTAAGAGGGGGAAGTTCACGAGACGTGGCCGTCACAGGTTAGCCAGCGGGTGTAAGATAGCATCCGCTTCTGCGTGATATTTGGTAGTAGCAGAGCAGTCGGTCCTTATGCATCGGCACCTTCCCTTTCCTTAACAAGATGCTTTTTTTGTCACAAACATTGAGCGAATGGGGTACCACGAATTGTTTGTCTAGGACGTGTAAACGTTAACTAATTGCCACTGATAAGCCTAATACAGATTTACACAGTCAGTGCTCGTGCGGGGAAGGAAAGGACCAAGCAAGGAGCCTCTTTCTTCCCCACGATATACCTCGCTAACGGCCGGCTCCGCGCCTACGATAGGCCATTTCCACGATCGGGATCCTCCACTTTTGATATCGGAGTTGAGAGATGCACATAACTAATAAATAATAAATAACAAATAAATATATGGCGGTGAATGTATACTGAAAAGAAAACTGAGATATTCGAGTATACGTCACTTTAGTCATAGATCCTCTAGTCTGTTATCTGCATCGCGATACGTGCAGAACTAACACGAGAGTTGCTACATACCCTGGTTTGTCCCATTTATATCTCTAGAAACAATCTCAAATGCAAGTACAAGGCGCATATCATATCATCATCCATCTAAGACCTAATCCACTCTCTTTGGCTGTTTTATCCACTCCTCCTCCATTCGCCTACCGATACATCTATTCTTCAATATACTTCTTCAGCCCCCTTAGCCGCTCCTTGGCCTGCTCCAAAACATCATCATTCTTACACACAGCAAATCGGATATAATCCTCTGCCAAGTGCGCATTACCCGGAGTATAGAACTCTGTCGGTGGGATGGCCGCAACACCAATCTCCTGGATCAAGAACCACGCCAGCTTAAAGTCTCGTGGGCGGCTGGCTACATGAGGAGGAAAGGGGTAGTCTTCCGGCAGCTTGACCTTGGCCATGTTAACGAGAAGAAAGTAACCACCCTCAGGGTAGGTCACCGGCAATTTCAGCTCCTCAAAAACCTCCTTGAGGCGGTCTATCTTACCCTTCATCTCCTCGATCGTCTCCTTCCAGAAACCATTCTTGCCAGCCTGCTCAAAACCGATGGCCGAGGCTTCTTGGAAAGGGGCGGGCGTGGAGAAGCAAATTCGTGTGTGGGCGGCAGTCACATACTGAATAAGTTCTTGGGGTCCAATCAACCAGCCTGTAAAGTGTAAGCATGAATGATTTCATCAAGTGGGAGCAGATTGGACGCACCAACACGCCAGCCTGTGGCATAGAAGTTCTTTCCAGCAGATCCAACGGTGAGCGTCAACTTTTCCACTTCAGGAGAAAGGTTGGCGATTCGAGTAAATGGCACATAGTAGAGTTTGTCGTAGACTTCATCGGAGAGAATAATGGTCTGGTTCTTGACAGCAAGGTCTGCAATACCTTGTAGCTCATCCTTGGAAAAGACCTTGCCAACGGGGTTGTCTGCTGAGTGTCAGCGCTGAGGTGAGCATGAATCATTGGTACTGCTCACGGGGAGTGTTGATGACAATCATCTTAGTGCGGGGTGTGAAGGCTTTTTCGAGCTCCTCAAAGTCGATTGTCCAGTCTGCAGCCGAGGAGTCCTTGATAGCGCCAGTCTTGGGAGGATGCAGAGGCACATAAACGACCTTACCGCCGGGCATCTGAATGTTGCTGATGTATCTAAACTGAGATTAGAGAATGTTTCAGCATAGTATTAGGAGCACTTACTGATCAAAGAACGGCTCAAAGACAATAACTTCATCACCGGGTTCGATAAAACCCATAAAGGCACTCAGCATGCCCTCATTAGCACCCGTAGTGATAATAATCTCAGTTTCAGGATCCAACTGACGTCCCCAACCGGGAGAGTACGCATCCGCCAAAGCCTGCCTCAAACGGGGCCGTCCCTTAGCAGGTGCATACTGATTACACTCAACACGGTCCAAAGCCTCCTTGGCAGCGTTGAGGATAAAGTTGGGAGGATTATAACCAAAGAATCCTTGGCCTAGGTTCACAATAGGCTGGATGGGTGAAGACGCAGCGGCCTCATTGATCATGGACCTGCTTGGCTGTTAGGAGCCACAATTTTGACAAGATGATTTAGAGGGACCTTACCAGACATCTTTCTTCTGGCCCTGAACTCGGGCTGCGGGTTGAAGTTTTTGAGTTTGATTGCTCATGATTCTGATACTGCTCGAAAATTGTCTTGAGAAGTGAAGAGGGATAATACTGCTTCGGAGCGTAGTACGGAGCATTGGCTGGGAGGAGGGGCGGCTCGGGGTTAATATGGAGCGCAACATCAACGAGAGACCTTTGCCGCGTTAGTCCAATGGGGATGTTCGTAGAAAGACCCTTGGAAATTACTTACGCTTGAAGCTCTCAGCAAAGGCGAATCAGGTCTGCTTCTTTTCACTTAGTTCAGTTATTTCTTTTGACAAGTCGTAGAGGTTGCGACATCGCCGTGACCGGAGAGAATATTGTGATGACTAATGTTCTAAAAGTGTCGTGCTGCTGATCGCGTCATTACCTAGCTCCAATCACGAGCATTATAGTTGGTTGTTCTGTCGGGATTGGTTCGACAACTTACATGCCCTAGAAGTTGAAACAATATCAAATCAAGGCTTGGCTCCCGGCAGTTAACAGGATACATATGTCGGGTTTCTTTCCGATAATTACCTATTTCACCCATCCCATGAACGGTAGGTAGTTTACAACCTAAAAAGACCGGAGCTTCAAAAGCTAAATAACTACAGTCACATCAATCAGACTGCCGCAGAAGACGAAATAGGAGGCTAGTTCATGTCATTCAACCCAAATTCTAGCCTAGAGCTTAGAACCTAGCAAATTTATTCATCCGGTTAACCACTATCATGACAGTTACCAGTCCCTGATATGATTACTAACCCATCCATTTCGCTAGGTGTAGCAAGACGGCCCATATCCCCATCAATCTACCAGAACTCAACTACACGAGTTCCTTCAGGTACCTCCAAGTCCATCTTTTCCTTGGGGTCGTCCTGGGTGCGTCGCGCTTCCATCAACTCAGCCGTCAACTTCACAAGCTCTAACGCAGTGATTCTTGTCTTGTGATTCCATTCAAGAAGGCGTAACAGGAGCTGGATAATTTCGTGTCCGGGATTCAATCTATCCAAGTTGCGAGCGTGCGTAGCGCATATACGTGGATACATCCGCTCCTCCTTCTTATAGAAATGAGGAGACTGCCCCATCATGCCCATCAACGAGATGCCAAGGGCCCAGATGTCGTCGCTCTTGCCGGCGTGCCCATGATGCCTCTAGATGTAGGGTGACCAGTATGAGTGCGTTCCGTGCGGCCTCTTGTGGTGGTGCATGTGATTGATCGACATAATCTCTGCGCAATCCGCGACAACGACTTCGACAGGATCCCATGTGCGGATGAGGATGTTTCGCGGCTTGAGGTCTCCATGGAAACGGTTTAACCCATGGAGATATTCGACGGCCTGCGAGACTTGAAGCATGACCCGGAGAGCATCCGTTATTGCTAAACCGTCAGAATGGTTGTTGCTTACATCCTGCAGACTTCCACCAGCGCAGAGCTCAATAACGAGGATGTTGGCAGATGGATCATTCTCCTCTTCAAAGTACTCAATATACTTGACAATGTTGGGCTGTTACGTGGTCAGTCTGTAACGCAGAAGAGTAGGTAAGAAGGCCTCAGAAGAAAAAAACTCACATGGTGAAGGCTCCTCAGGATCCTAGCCTCCTTTCGCAAGTGCTTAACTGCTTCGGGGGAGGTTTTGCCGGCATGGACAAGTCCAGTCCGGCGATCGAGAACTTTGTAGACTCTTGCGTAGCCTCCTTGTCCCAGGTGACATCCACGGGTGTAAGAGCATTGAGGGAAGTCGGGGTCTCGGACAGCTGAAAGTCGTTTATCCTCGTCTGTCCAGGCTGATGAGTTTGCCATGTTGACAGATCGTTGGAGAGGATGGAGAAAAAGAAGAGAAAGGGAAAAGGATTTGATTCATTGAAGAAAACATAAGTCTACACTTATGCCCAAGCCCGGCGAGACGCTGCAGTGACACCAAGTGGCTGAACAGTATTGCGCAGTGGCACCCAGCTGACGGATTGCTTTGACTTGCCTGTTGGCCGTTTGTTTCACAAACTTCATACCGCTTATTAGTGTCTTCAACTTTGTCACCCGGGTCAAGCAGCACCTTGTGGTAGTCATATCCCAAAATACCAATTGTCATGAGGAAGGAGAGGGAGCCTCAGGGCGTCGGAAAACATGCCTGAGACATATTCTGGCACCTTAGTACCTAGGAACCTAGGTACCTAGTTAGGTAGGTACAGTATGTATCTAACAATTGTGTCATTTCAGAGTAGACTCTTTGGTCATTTGTTATTATACCTGGAAGCTCGGCGATCAATCTTTCTACTACCCCTCCAGGTGAGAGGACCTCTGTTCAGCTAGAGGAAGTCGCAGCCCGTTATGCAACCTCAACGAACATACACAGTACGTTATTACTTGAGTATAATTCCTCGCCGCAATCAATCAGCAGATACCCGAGTGTTTTAATTTACGTGATACACAAGCAAGTAGATATCCGAAGCGAAGTTGAGGTTATCATATGCCATCTTTGCACATTCCGGAAGCTCCGCAAGTATCTTTATCCTCTAAATTCGAAGGGCTTCGTGTTGCTTGTCTTCACAAAATTGTACATTTTCTTAGACTCGAGGTAGCGGGGATGATTCTACCTTAAATTTAATACTGCTCAAGGCTATTTTCATTCCTCATGAGGCCTATTCATTTCATCTCATCCGTATCGCTATGTCCTCCAGATCCCATTCGCTGCGTGTTCCATAAACGCCGTCCCATGAGCCCGATAAAAAAAATAATTGCCGTTATATAAGGGTATCTATATGCAAAGTCCAGAGGTGTGCCGTGCTGGCAATAGCTTAGGGCTTCTCGTCGCGACGTACGATGGTACGGATATTCTCCAGGAGACTGTCCATGAATTTCATAGATTCGCTTCCAGGAACATCGGGGAAATCCTGTGGTTGGAAAGGAATGGCTTGCTCTGCCAATACGGTTTGGGGCGCATTCTCAGGGTTCGTGTTGGTAAGTACAAGCTTGCCATCCCGAACAGACGATGCCACCTGCTCTTGTGCGGCTACAGGCGTCACTAAACTGCCCTGATGCGAAGGCAAATGTCGATTTGAGTGAACTTGATTCAACACGTACTTTTGTGGCGAAGCAACTTCTCTAGATGTCGAGACAGGCATGAAACCCGGCAGTCGTGGAATCGGCACAGGCGTCTCAGAGATCTTAGCACCAAGCGGCTGTTTGCCTGGAGTGTACGCCCCCGATGGCGACTGTTGCGTTGCTTGCACTTTTCGCACAGGCTTGGGCTCAACGGGTGAACCCTTGTTCGAGGACTGCTGCAGAGCCGGTTGGCCAACGGCAGCAGCCACAGTATTCGGTGTCGATGTCATTGCCGCCAAAAAATTTGCTGGCAATGGCACTGGCGACTCTTTTGGTGGTATCTGGATTGGCTGTTCAGCCGACCCGTCCTTCCTATCGAGAATTCCAGGTACTTACCTTGTACGGCTTGAAGACTGTCGCAGTCTTGGGTTTGCTGTTTTGGTTAGGGGTTTTAGTAGTCTCCTGAGGCTTCCGCACTTGTTGAGGGTTAGGCTGAGACGGCTGGGGTTGCTGATGCTGTTGCGCATGCCCCTGCGCCTGCGCCTGTGCCTGTATCGGGGGCAGATACTGCGCTTTGAGGGCGGGGCGAGAAAATTGTCCAGAGGTCGGATGGGTCGGCATTGGCGATGGCGATGGCGCCGGCACTCCTTTCGGGAAAGACTGTTGTCTGAAGTCAAATCCACTAGGGGGCATCTGTGAAGGGGACGATGCTGGGGGTGGAACTGCAGATGGCTGTTGATGCGGAGAGCTGTGGGCGCCGTAGTTATGATTGCTTGGTTGACCTCGCAGGAAGGCGTCCTGGTTGGCCATGATATGCGCCCTGAAATTACCTTCGTAGCCGTTTGTGAAGCCTCCCCAAGCAGCATATGGTGTTCGATATTTACTTGAGTCCCTGGGAAAGAGTTAACAAGGCCCCCGTGTAACGGGGGTCTACCACACGAACCTGTTGTAGTTGACCTGGAAGAAGGGGTACTTCTGGTAGATCGATTGATGTACCTGCCAAGATGCTTTCATGTGATGATTTTGTTGCTGGACAGGATGAGCCTGCTGATAGTGTGCCGATGCTTGATATGGGCTTTGGTGGGCACCGTTATGAGGATACATTACGCCAGCAGCGGGTGCAGGCGTGGGAGGGTGAGAAACGTTAGTCACCCTTGGCCATTGCGTCTGCTGAGGATGTACAGGTACTTTCATAGGACTGTGCATTGTGGGAGTGCTTCCTGGCGGTGTGTGTGCTGGAGACGATCTAACCTCGAACCTCTGAGCGGAGTATGCAGGATGAGGAGATTGGTGTCCCGGGGGTGCTGGCTGCGCATATGATGGGTACTGCGTGTGATGTTGATTTGGGGCAGGTAAAGGGGCAGCCGGTGCGAACCTCTGCGTGGTGAAGCTGCCCATAGTAGGCAAATTGATCTCAGCAGGGATTCGTGGTTTGTACACATACGGTCTATCCAGTCGGCCAGCATTGTAAGGAGTCCCAGGCTGATAGGGTCGTTGCTGAGCGTAGGGTGGAACTGCTCTTGGCGGTCTTACTGGCTTCAGTAGCTTAGGAACCGTAGAGAGGAAATTGCCTTGAGGGTTGTGACGTTGCTTGGTAGGATCTTCAGTGAATTGGGCGCGAGCATCGGTCGATGTCTTTGGCAAGTAATGCCAAATTTGGTCGGGCTTGGAAAAGTCAATGTTGACCTGGTCTTTATTGGAAACAGGATGAAGCTGGAACTCGGCCCATGTGCAGCCCTCGACAAACGGATCGTCTTTCTGGGGCTTTCCGTCGTGAAGTCGCTTGGTCTTCAGCTTGTCCTTGGCCTTTTGTGAAGCGGGCATGGGAATGGCGTTTGCTGATGCCTTTGGAAGTCGGTAATCAGCTGGATTGGGTACCAGCAACCACTTCCATTGAACCTCGAGGCGATCACTGCAAGAAGTCAGTTTGGTTTCTGATAATTCAATTTGATTCGGATGTCGTCCATACCCGTTAGGCAAAATATCAACGAGAAGTGTTTGCTCGTCAGCCCTGTTCTCAATCACAACACCAGCGAAAATGTCACCCTTGTAGTATTGGAACTGGCAAGTCTCGCCTGGCTGGATCTTTGAGGCTGATGTTTTAACACGCGTGTCCGTCTCCAATAGTTCCCCGTCGAGTTTCTTATCACGTTTGGTCCGATGGAACCGACAACTAAACTCGAAAGCTTGCTCCTTGTACTCGGTGCCATCTTCGCCAAAAACTGGGACTTCTTCTTCTTCGACAAAAACGCCAGCAGCCGCTGCACATGTCGCATGATACGCCCGGGCGCACTTCTTCTGGGAACATTGGAAGCATGCGCCACGTTTTGAGCGACAATAAAGGCACTTGAGGTCGAGTCGATCTTTGTGAATCTCCGACACGTTGACAACGGTTTCCTGATTGTCAATAGTTTCAATATATGTCTCTGGCAGATAGTGCGCACAGAGACGATGCGCCTTCCTACCATCATCTGTGGGTAACAACTCTGCTGATGGTGTATCATTGGGGCAGAGACAGCAAGGGGGCTCGGCCTTGGTTTTGAGGCGAAGCCTGATCTTCTTGACCTTGACCTTGCCACTCTTGTCACCGGGTCCACGCTTTCGTTTGCGACGAGGCTCCTTAATCTTGACGCCCGAGGTGGACGGTGGTGTCGGCATCCCAGACTCATCATCATCTTCTTCCTCGTCATCTTCCTCCTCCTCTTCGGTTTCTTCATGTTCAGTTTCCTCGCCGCGCAGCTTACGTTCGATCTCGTAGACATTAACCCAGACGCTGTCTTGAGCTTGAGCGCATTCGCACTTTTTAGCAATCTTGCCAATTTCGAGCCAAGAGTCCAGCGCAAAATTGACAGCCTCGGCACAGTTGTAGCCAAGGTTATAGCCGGAATGGTATCCATATGGGTATGTAACGACAAACTCTCCGGGATACGACACGACTTTGTTGACGGTGATATTGTAGTGTGATTTCAAGTGCTGAGGAGAAATGAGAAATCCCTTATGTCGGAGGAACTGATCGCAGGCTTTTGCGTCTGTGGGCCAAATATTCTTCATCGCAGCCTCGAAACGACGAGCATCAGCTTGGGAGATACTGTACCACTGCTTCGGGGCACCAAAGTGAAGGTAGTTGATACTGTAGAGGTCAACATCTTCAAGATGCCATGCGAACGTTGCTTTCCACATGCCCAAGTATAGATAGGCAGTGTTGACTCCTGGAACCTTTGTTCCTAGAACATCCAAAAGGTTGGGAAGCTTGTTCAGGTTCCACTGCTCGGTCGATTCGTCAAAGAGCGTACCCATCAGATCCGCACCGTAAAGAGGGGGCGCATACGTGAGAGTTTTCCAGTATGCTCTCTCAAGTTCCTCACATCGTTCGGGTGTGTATTCGGATGTGTCCATCTTGTAATCCCAGTCCTTGAAGGCAGCTTCGTCGACCATAGCGGATCCCTCTCGGCGGCTGTATTTACGGCGAGCCGAGACTGTCTGAGTTTTAGTCCTGGCTGGTCGAGAGATGCCCATACGGCCAACCTTGGGCTCATAGTCATCCTCAACCTCCTCGCCTGGATCTTGCTCGACAGACTCGACGGGCTTGTCTTCCATCTCGGTTGCATCAGGCTTAGGAGACACCGGGGTCATAGGTCGGTCCTCTGCGTCCTCTGCTGGCTCTGGGTTGGCCCGTCTTCCTCTGCCACCGCGCTTAGCCGGCCGTCCCCTGCCTCTCTTCTTTGGGACTGAAGGATCAACGGGCTTGGATGCAGGTGCTGCCTTTTGTGTTCGTGGTTTTGGCTTTTCGGCATTGGCGCGTCGCTCGCCACGTCTAGCCGGGGGTTGGTGTTCGCTCTGGTCACAGAGTTGACGCCACTGTGGAAGGTTGTAAGATCGACCGTGTACAATGTTAACTTGGCGGTAGGTGCCGTTGGAGCCCATGATATCTTGCTTGATTGGTTCTCGAACTTTGACCTGTTTGACGAGGTTATCAAGTTTGGGAAGACTGTCCTTCCATTCTTGCGGAGGGATAATCTTGATGATACCAGACTTCATACCATAGCTGTCGACGGCTTCCATCTATAGTGGTCGTTAGCAGAGGAGGGCGAGGGACTTGCAGGTGACATACGAAACGTTTAAAGTCTCTAAACTGGTGCATGGTAGGCTTAAAGATAGGAACAGCGCCAGACCAGTGATCTGGCAGCACTTCTCCGATGTCTTCATCGCTGGGCTTGTCCTTGTCTTCATCACTGGTGTTTTTGTCGCTAGAATCTAGCGGCTGCGGAGGGTCGCTGAGAATAGGCTCGTCCTCAAGGTCGCTTAATTCAGAATCTGAGCCATCTGACTTGGCCATGTTGTTACTGTCGGGAGGCGAATGCAAGAAGGCTGGGTCGGTTTTGGCGGTCGCGGTATTGTTGGGATTGCTATCGACTGGCGCAGTTGCGACAACAGGGTCGCGAGAATCCGTGGTATTGGCGACGGCAGCGCCAGCGTCGATCGACTTTGACGTCGACTCCGACATGGTGGGCGATCACGTCGCAATCGGCGACGGTGCCATTGAAGGAATAAATCGGAATTTTGTGTCGCTTATCGCTACGGCGTGCGATTGAAAATACTGATGGGATGATTATAAGGAAATTTGTTGTGCGGCCGAGTTTGCGCTGAGAGTAAACGATCGAAAAAGAGTGCTTGGGCTTTGGGAAGGTGGTATAGTGAGTGAGAACCTGAAACTGGAGACGAGAGGTACGGGCAGCCAGTGCAGTATGTCAAAGTTGGTGGTCAGAAGGGCAGGTGATGCGGAGAAATTGTTAACAGGCGAATAGATTCGCTCGCTTAAAGGTATACTGCCACCTTGAGTTTAGCGGTAGGTACCTGTAAGGGAGGTAGCGTGCTAAGGCTGCAACCTGGTGTTCCCCTGTAAAATGCATGCGGAAGAAACAGGGCAGGGAGGTACTCCCCAAAAAGGGTCACTAGAAAAAACATGATTCGATTTCGGAGGTTTCCATCATCATGGCGACAAAAATGGCCCCCTTTTAACAAAGAAATCAGTTACTTTAGGAATAGACGTAAGTAGGGTGATTCATTCAATTATTTCCATCAATATCCCCTTTGTTGTCCCCTTTCTAGATGTTACGGTGACTATAAGCCTCATGGAATGTTTATTGTCAAACAGTGTTGATGTAAAGCTTCGAATAAAAATACGACCATGCAAGTTAAGTGGCTGCCGGCGGATCTTAAAGATGTTAATCTGATGCAGCTTGATTAGATTGATAAGAATGCTTGTCTTCTGGAACCTGGGACCGAAAAACTAGGGGCAGTGTCTTGTCCTTCCGAACCCGGTGACGCAAACCATGGATTACTCACATTACATGACAAAAGGGTTTCACTATCAGCCGGACCTTATCCTGTGGTCAGCCTTTTTTTATTTCTCTATCTCGGAACCTCATGTTTACTTCTCAGGTTATCTACGAGTTCACAGGCTGACTGGTTCAGTCGTGGTCTATCCCACCTTGAACCACCAGAGTACGTATTCCATTGATCTCAATGATTCTGGTGCCTTATCTCAGGACTAGATACCCAGTCCCTGTTGACAGCTCAGGCGGGGCAGCAGGGCGACCAGTTACTAGCTCAGCTGCAAAGGTGTCCCACGCTGCCAGTCATCAGTCGAACCTCTCTCTTGCCAGCATGACAATGCATAAGGGCATGTTGGTAACGGAACTCTTGTCTGAACGAAAGCTGCTTCAAAATCTATCCAGACATGTTATTTGTCGAGCAGTGACTTGTTTAGATCGACAATGGCAGAATTCTGGTGGATCCCAAACGGATGACAGCGTGTAAGTGTGCGTATCATGATAGGTAAGTCTAACATCCCATCGTCTATTGGCAAGACTCGTAGATATACATGCCAAGGACCATGGGTACGATGTCTTGATATATCACGAAGAAATTCTACAGTTGGGGAGCGAGCGATATCTACAAGTTATAAGCCACGTTGAACTGAACAAAGTCCCATGGACAACAGGGATTGTCACTTCTCGTTTCTCTCCAATGTGCCTTTTTGGCTGGTGATTTTATCAATGGTAGTGGATCGTGACACTCTCCAACGTCTTGCTATGTGTTTTTTTTTTTTTCCCCTTCAAAATGACAGTCCTGTGCTCGCATGTTATTGCTCAGTGACATGTTTGTTTTTGGTTGAAGTCCCCCGTCATACAAGCATTTGGCTCTACAAAACCACGACTCAGTCACATAATGAAAAAATCGGTTAAATAGGCAAATCATTTCACTGAACCTTTCATCCCCCGAATAGAAAGTAAATCCCATTTAATGACTCTCTTGTCAATCGCCTAATAATCGGTTTATCTCTGGAAGACAGTGTCATACGGAATGACTATAGGGTTAGTAGCAAAATGACTACTTCACGATTGCGGGCTGATTCAAGTACCTAGGTAGATAGGTAGTAGGTATTCGCTACCTTGAAGTTGCATTAAAGATGAAACTAATGAATTACTATAAGGTAAGTTTGGTAAAAGGTTTTGGTTAGATTTCAAGGATGTTTGGTGTTGAGCTTTTGATACTATCGGTAGTACATCTGCTGAAGCGGTTGACTCCAGGGATGGTTAGTTCCACCATTCACTTAGACCAGAAACAACTGACGTCAATATCTTTAGACCAAAGCCTTTTTGTTCGTATTAAAAGGTTAAATTGTCAATCAATTCACTAGAGTCATAAGAATTGAAGAAACCATGCCATAAGCATTCTCTTCATGTATAATCATAGGCTTAGATAGAACCATACCTAATCAATCGAATCTATGGCTTGATAAAGTCGAGTATCGAGATCTTGTCCATTTCCAGAACTCCAACTCAATTTCAACCAACAACATACCAAAGCCGGGCTTATCGTTCTTGTCCCAGCCACCCTTGCTCTAGCAGTTTTACTGGTTATTCTTCTTCCTCTTTCACCCCGCACCAATAACGTAATATCCCTCTAACTTAAACTCTTCTTAAACAAGTTGGACTGCAGCCATCTCGACCACTCTTAACCCAACCTATTGGATGGTATCACCAAATGCTGACCTATCTTGTGGCTTTCCGGCCCTCCATGCGTTTGCTTTTGGTCTCCCCGCTTCGAGCATGAGCACATCATTCGTAGCCTTGTTGAAGCCAACGCCATTGCCATGTTGCGAGGGAGTTCGCGTGCCGTAGTAGCTGCACGTTGGGAACATGTATAAGATACTTGCTCGGCTTATGCTGTAACTAAATTAGGCGTTGGTACATGACGATCTATTGCAGCTGCAGCTTGTTCATTCAATAAGCTATCTATGGCCCTCACCTCTTCCAGCTGAGCCTTTCTTTCTCTTATCTCCTCTTCACTTTCACTCACCTCACCAGCTCGACGGTGTCGGAAGAGGTTTATCTACAATTATTCCCAGTAGATTTCTTGCTCCTGTATCGCGCGTTGCTTTTCAACATGGTCCTTCTCAAGAAGCTCATCGCAGTCCTACCTCTCACATCCACTGTCTCTGCGCAGTCAAACAAGATCTGGGCTGCCGTCGTATTCATCAACCATGGCGAGATCACTCCAGAAACCCAACTACGTACTGTCCTCACTCCCGAGGGCGCGCAGCAGTTATGGCGACAAGGGACTGCATTCCGTGCTCGTTATATTCCAAATGGTGTGAATGATTCAGACTACGAGAACATACAGACAGCATATCTTCAGGATCTCAAACCCGATGTGATTGACAATCAAGAGCTTGAAATCATATCTCAAGCAGATGAATGGGTATCTGGAAGTGCTTTGGCTTTCATGCAAGGCTTTTATCCGCCCGCACCCAACGCCTTTGACGACAGTATTGGAGGTGAAAAAATAGCCGTGAACCTGGAATCAAGTGACAACAAGACAGAATATCCTCTCGGCGGATATCAGTATCCCAATGTTCGAATTCCAAGCTTACATGATCCAGAATATATATCGTATGCCGCCAGACTCACTTATACAACACTGAACTTTGACTAACACCGCACAGCGTGCAAGGTACCTCGAGATGTCCAGCCTGGTATGCAGAAATATCAGCAAACCTGACAGGGCATGAGTCCCTTGACAACATTTACGAATCAAGCCAGAACTTCTACCAAGACCTCTTCTCTACTCCGCCTCTCAAGGGGACAATCGACATGAAGTCAGCCAACCTCAAGAACGCCTACAATATTTGGCAATTTGTCGATTATCAATATCGTCATAACGAAACTGTTCACGAGGAGCTAGGCAACGCAAATGGGACACTGACTCTTCTCAACTATTACGCTACTAAAGTAGAGCGCGCAGCGAATAGTTACTCGGAAAAGTCTGACGACGACAGCCAACTGGGCGTCCTCTATTCCATCGCCGGACGCACCTTGGCGTACAAAATCTTGTCACAATTCAAGAACAACATCCGCTGGGGAAGTAACTACAACAAACTCACGTTCATGTTCGGTTCCATCGAACCCATCGTCAGCTTCATTTCTCTCTCGGGCCTTCTCACGAAAGACAATGAAGAACAGCAACCCTGGTCCTCTCTCCCTGAGCCTGGTGCAGCACTTGTCTTTGAGCTGTTCGGTGATGATACAGACTCCCCTGGCCGAATGCCTTCAATAGATAGCCTGAGAGTCAGAATGTCATATCGTACTTCTACAGATGCTGACGAGCCTTTCCGCAACCAACCTATTTTCAAGTCTGGCCCTGATGGTATCGCATACACCCGCTTTGTCCAGATCATGACCAAGCTTGGAACGTCACCCAGCCAGTGGTGCGATATCTGTGGTGCACCACTAGCTCCCTGGTGCATAGATTCTAGCTCAGGCGATAATATCTGGGGCGATGATTCTTCCTCGTTAGGTCCGGTCATAGCAGGTATCATCGGCGCAGTCATCGCACTCACCGCAATGGCTATCCTCGTAGCGTGCTTGTTCGTCTGTGGAGGTCTCCGAATTCGACGCAAGCAGGCTCCAGATAAACCAACCAGCACTGCTGCTTCTGCTGTAGGAGGCGCTGTGGGAGGTTTCAAAGGACCAGAGAAGAAAGACGGCGACGCAGATGTGATTGTGACAAAGCAGGGAGTCCACCATGAACGTGTTGGCAGCTGGGAACTCCGAAGTCCGAACGAGATACCCCCTCAGCCGCAAATGTCTGGTGTTGTAACCAAAGATTTCGACGCACCTCGACATCGAACAATGGACGACAGTGACGATGATATCAGCGTCATTGGAGCAGCACCAGTCAAGGCACGGGAGAGTATTTGAGTAGTTTGAGAGGATTTATACCGTGGAATCGATAATGATTAAGAGCGATTTGTGTATGAGTGGGCTATACCCTTTGCTTCTTACGATCGTTCTGAGCCTTTGTTACATATTGGGAGATATTTTGAGTAGGCGTTTTGGTTGGCGAATTGGAACATCTACACACTCTTTAGGAAATACCCAGGATATTTTCAGGCACATATGAAATGCCTGCTGTTACATAGCACGGTAGCTTGGTTCGACAAATGAGACTGTCATATGAACATAATGTTATTCTTGTAGTATATACAAAAGACAAAGTGACTATATAAACATGCCTTTTGGTCATTCTCTCATGTCATATTCATAATTATCAAACGGGGTATCTCCATCCAGTAGGATCTACAAAATAATAAACTCTTCCTCTTGCAACCCCTTAAACTCAAGCACCTCCCCACTCATCATCCCATGAACATAGCACTCCCCAACAAGCATCCAAGTTCCCCCTTCTCGCCTCCTAATTAAAAACGGCACCTTACCCCCATATAATATAACAACCACATCACCACCCTGCATGATATCAGGCCCAACCACAAACCATCCCCCAGCAGTAATAGCAAAGCCACGATACCTCGTGATCAACGTCGCCTCATGGCTCCATTTGAACCCGTCGCCCGCCTGTGCAAGATCTTGGATCTCTTGGCTAATAGCATCAGTATTATCTAGAGCACGAACAAGATACGCTGCGCCATTGGCAAGCCACTCTTCCTTCGGCACGCTCTCATATGGCCGCGAACGATCCACTCCGATGCAGCCATTTGTGAGACTCTGTACAAGTGCGAAGAAGGCAGACTCGCCATTACGATAGCGTTTTTGTAGATTGAATGGCTCGTTGCCACGACAGATATCGCGCCATACAGCTTCGATGGGGAGACGGCGGGGGTTGTTGCGGTTGCGATGGAAGTGGAAAGCATTGTGCCAGAAGATCCATGAAGGTCGGTGCAGGCGATCCAGGCGAACGCCACGTATATGTAGGGCCCGTCTCGTGTCGTCGATGTGTAGCTTTGGCAGTGAATTGCCTGATGCCCGGTGAGGAGAACCAGGTGTTCCCATGAGATGAAGAGGTACAATACGCCAATCTGGAGCCCACGTCGGAATATTGCCTCTCTCCATGAGTCTGCGTCGATACGTTGCGGGTACTGCATGGCAGGCAGACAAGACGAGAAGGGTTTCACAGCCCGAGAGTTCTCGGGCCGCTACGTCATAAAATATGTCCTCGACGGGCCTGCTGTAATCGGGCACAAGCTGCTTAAGGCTTTGACTTCCCGTGCTGAGAGAGAAGTGGCCCAGAAAGGCGTATACATGGTCTCGAGGGTCCTTTGCTAGTAAGTGCCGTGCGCGATGCAGCTCATAGATGAATGCAGCACGGTTGTGGTTGAAGTCGTACTGTTCCTTAGGCTCGACGAATCTTTGATATAGATATCTGACATTAGGTGTGAGAATTGAGAACCGTGAGCGCAAATAGTGATACTGGGTATTCAAGACACCCGCAACTGACGAGAGAATTTCCCAGTCAATCTCAGCATCTCCCCAATAGAGCGTGGCCTCAGCACTCGTGCCAATCTCTTGAACAATCCACATCCGACTGAACTATTCCCATTAGCAAAGGACTTCTTGCCAGCTGTTACTACCGCCTCCTGAAAATCACTCACCCACGGTAGCCTTG